CAATCTCATGCTCTAATCTTGTCAATCAAACATACCCTAAAAGTTTTATCAAATTTTCTACTAAATAGCTCACATAAGTGTAGGACCCACATGGGACCCATAAAGTGTAGGTCCACACCTACATGAGACATTTGTAAAAACTTTAATAAAACTTTTGATATCTAGCATTGTTGTAACTTTAAATCACATACATTCCTAACTTCATATCACAGAAAAGTGTAACTTCTATGTCTTTCTTGAAAGTGAAAATCATAAATTTCCCAATTTTCTATACACAGGCAATTGAAAATACAATTAAATTTAATTAACTTATTGAATCAAAGAATCTGTTAATAGTTGATGATGAGAAAAGGATTAAATAGCTTGAGGGGAAGAATAATACAGCCACAATTTAAAGAGCTTGAACCTTCAGAAGCTATTACTAACACAGAGCACAATAGACCCATAGTTTTTACCAGTTGCAACATAGATCTGAAAATTTACAGAGAGATTGAAGAGAGGGGCTGTGTTGATGTGGGAGAGTGGATTGGTTCAGTTAGGGAATCGACTCTTTCTAATATGAATCAGTAAGACATAAAATAACAAATAAGAAAGATAAAATAAATCGAAGAAATCACACACACACAAAAATAACATAGTTCATCCTAGAATAGGATTACATCGACGATTGCTGCAGGTTTCACTATAATAAAATAACAAATACAACTCTCAATAGATACAGGAGGCGTCATCCTCATCTACTTAGAAGTAAGAATAGGTCAATGCGGATGCAACATGAAATTATCAAAGTACTCAAGGGAGCCCCCAAATCTCCATCGAACCCAGACTCAATAAACAGTACTTATTAGAATACACAAACCCAACAGGTTCATGGCAAAGGTAGGGTGGCTGATGTATGTGTACTGAAGGTTAAAAATGTAAAATACAACTATCGCGGGCTAGGATGACAACATTGACAAGATGTAAGGGAGATGAATATCATTTCAGAATATGAGAAGAGATCTCTCCCATTGTCATATAATTTTAAGAAAGGTGCCTATTTCTTTCCCTCAAGGTTTTAAAAGCAGCCGCAACTGTTACGTAATGTCGTTATGTAACGATTTGTGATGGTTAACACACCTGTTACGGCTGCTATAGCGGTGTGGCGGAAATTTACATGTATAACGGCCGTTTCAATGTTTCGTAACGGCCGTAGTAGTACCATAATGGTCGTAACAGTCCGTTAAACACCGTTACACTCTTTTATAATATTCTGAATAGCTTATTTTAGTTCCATTTTTCATTGTTCATATCAATTGGCCAGATATATTTCCTAATTTTTTTTTTATATTGATATTATTACTATAGTCCAGCTTGTCTCATGTTTGAGACCAATTTTGGACCATCCAGTTCAGTCCATGGGTTCATTTTTTGGTCTCGTTTGTATAATCCGAATCATTCAATGTGTAGAACTCGTCGGGTACTATATCTTTGTTAAAAATCACGTTGATCGGATATCAATAACTATTTGATCAGATCAAATTTGTATTAAAAAAAAGGACGGTGAAAAAATAAACGGTTAACAAAAATCTGAACTAATCAAATAGCTATCGATATCCGATCAAAATAATTTTTTACAAAGATATAGTACTCAATAAATTATACATATTGAATGATTCGGATTATCGAAATAAGACTTGTGGTGGGCCCAGTACAACACGCTCTAGTCTGATCTCGTACTGGAGAAAAGCCTGACCCTAATAATAAATAGGGTATAATTAAGGTTTTGAAAAGCGGTTGTGGTCACCGTAACGGTTGTGGTGACACGGTAACAGTTGCGGAGTGTAAAGGCTAACGGTTGCGGTAACTGAAATTGTGTTTTTATTTTTATTTTTTGCACAATTTGTAGAAAACTTACCGATACACATATTTTTGTTTTCATAATCACATTTATTGGGGTCGAAAATAAATTTTGATCAGTTTTTGTTAATTTTTAAGTATAATTTAATATATTTTATATTTTCAAATCACTATAAATGAGATTTTTACATTTTATTTCAATAGTTAATGATTTTAAGAATAATTGATTTTACATGTTTACAAATTATTTTTTACCAACACCTGAAATAATTGAATAAAAATTATTTATAATTATTAAATGAAAGGATTATAAAATAAAAATTGTGTCATAAATTTTTTTAAAAAAATTATAAACAAAAAAAAAATTCATATAAGATTTTTTCTTTGGGCTTGGATCACTTGTATTTATTCATTTTTTGTAAACTTTTCTCTTTCTATTCAGAATATTGTAAAAGAGTGTAACGGTGTTTAACGGACTGTTATGACCGTTATGGTACTACTACGGCCGTTACGAAACATCGAAACGGCCGTTATACATGTAAATTTCCGCCACACCGCTATAACAGCCGTAACAGGTGGTGGTTACTACCACAAATCGTTACATAACGACATTACG